GGTAGAGTCCATGCTCACTCTGAGATGTCCCCAGCCAATGGCTTAGCATGATGGGTCATACAGGAGCTGGCCAATATCATCGTAACAAAGGTGTCTTCTGATACGCATTTTTTGCTTAGGTACTTCTTGTCATCCTAACAGAGACTTTTTAGAACTGCCCTATAGTCTGAGATTTTCCTACTGTGTCCTTGCTTCTTTCTCTTTCTTAGGTGTCAGAGTTTCAACCCATTTGAAGGCCTTTATCAATGACTCCTTCTTCCCATTTTACCCTTCACAGCTATTTACCATAATAAATGTCTTGCAGGTCTAATTATTTCTTGGCATCTGCTCCTTGGGGATCTCTAGATGACACAGAAGATTTATGCTAACTGATTTTAACACTTAGTACTAGGCTCTGATAATGAAGACAGATTGGTTTTGTTATAAAGATAGATAAGTAAGTCATAGTACAACATCGAAGGTCCAGAAAGAGATCCTTACTTATACAGTCATTTGATTTTTGACCAGGCAAGAAAGTAAATCCATAGGATAGGAAAATATTTTAAGCAATTGATGCTGGAAATACTGTTCTTGAGAGAACAATTAAGCGACCTCTCCCTCACACCATATACAACAATTAATTTTAAATGGATCAGACTGCACACATAAAATTTAAACGTAAATCTTCTAGAAGAAAACATAAAAAAGTATGTTGGTGTAGACATAGATTTCTTACACACATTCTAGAAAGCACTAAACTCAAAAGAAAAGAAAACAAAGACAAAATAAACTTCATTAACATTAGAGCACCTGTTTACCAAAAAAAAATTCATAGGCAAGCCACAGACTTGAAGAATATTTGCAATAACTGTATCTGATAAAGATATTGTAACCATAATATATAACAAGTTCAAAATTAAAAGATCCCTAAATAATAAAAGACCATTTCATAAATGGGCAAATGATTTGAAAGACAGGTCCCAAAGAAAGGCATGCAAACGGCCAATAAGCACATGGAAATGTGTTTAACTTTCTGCACCTCCTTAGATGTGTAGTCATTAGCTGGATAACACTCCCTTGGCAGCTGTACTGTCCTCCCTCGCTTCATTGCATGGGCTCTGCCCCTTGAGAGGCTTAAGCACCTGTTGGGCCTCCTAATTGGTCTCCCTCCATGTTGGACCCAGAACTGGGTGGAGCCTCTATTTCAGACGTCTAAGCACTTTCAAACCCTCCAGTCCTCCAAGCACCAATCCTATAGAGCTTCTCCTCTGAGATTCTAGTATCTGGTTATGCTTCCTCTTTCCATGTTTTCTACCAGTTTTGAGTGGTAGCTATTTTCTGTAATTTAATAGTCTTTATATTTTCAACTTTTTTCTCTTTCCCCCTTGCAATATCTGAATAAACCAATTCTTTGTTTTAAATACACTCTATAAGAAGCACATATTTTACCATTTGTTTTTCTGACTGCACCTTGTCTGATACAGGTAGCACATTTTATGTGATTTTGATGGATTGATTTGCTCACTTTAAGAGGTATTATCTTGTCTATCAGCACATTCCAAACCTCAATGGCAATGATTAGTCAGAAGTAGACATTTGACTTGTCTTTTCTACCATAACAGTTTTTTAACTTTTGTTTTCTCCTTAGAGTTACTGACTTGGTAAGATTAAATGTAGGGATTTTCATAGTTCTCCTTTTGCTACATGGGAGAACCCATCTGAGATTAAAACTGAGTAGAACTAAGCAGAACAAAAAGTGGGAAGAGTGACACACACATGAATGACTTGGTCCGGGGTACAGCCCTACAAGAAGCCATGTACATCCTCAGCTTAGCAGTTTCACACACATTTGTGGTATGGGCTGGCTTATCTAGACAGATTCAGCTTGAATTTCTGTCACTTAATTTGAAGGATTCTTAATGTACCCTCTATAAAATATCCCACATATACCACACAATTCTGCATAGTGTAGTGGTAAAAGAAATCAATTCTGGATTTATAGACGCTTAAATATGAATCTTGTTCTGGCTGTTGCTATTTTGACTGTGGAACAATGAATGAATCCCTCCTGCCTGATTTGAGAGGGTGCGGGGACAGGAGGGAAGGTGAATAGAGAATCTAGTGCTGTGACTGGCTAACAGTAACTAATAGTGGTACAAATCTCAGTTTCTTTGGTTATCACTCTAGTTATACTGAGAAATCATAGGGTCAAGCCCTATACCTCATTTTGTGTGTGTTCACTCTGTTTTGCAGTCTAAATGCTCAAAAAATTGTTCATTAAATGTAATGAGTCAGAAAAATCTCTAAAATAGAGTCTGTTTATGGAGTTTTAGCCCTCATGTACTACCTACTTTGGGTAGAATAGAACTCTCAAGACCTGGCCGCCTGGGTGGCTCAGTTGGTTAAGCCACTGCCTTCGGCTCAGGTCATGATCCTGGAGTCCCGCATCGGGCTCCCTGCTCAGCAGGGAGTCTGCTTCTCCCTCTGACCCTCCCCCCACTCATGTGCTTTCTCTCTCTCATTCTTTCTCTCAAATAAATAAATAAAATCTTTAAAAAAAAAAAAAAAAAGAACTCTCAAGACCTGAAACATAAAATTCCAAGCTCTAGGTTCCTGTGGACTTAGTGGGCTCCTAGGTTTTATCCTAGAAGTACAGTGGAGGACTCTGGTTAAGGATGGAACTAATGTAGGCAACTTGTCTCTATTTCTTCTTGAAACTCACTAACATGACAAAAAAGGGATTAAAAATGACGTTAACTCACCTAATTTATTATTATAACCGTATAACAGTAGGGATTAGGAATAGAGAGCAAGAAGAGAGTGTGCACATCTGCACAATGATGGTACGGGGTGGAAAAGTTACAAATTCTCATCTTAGCAGGAGTCCTGGTTAGAAAACTCTTAGAGTAATCTGAATTGGAGATGAAGAGAGAATATAGAAGCTGTGTAAGAAGGAAGGCCAAATCTTTCAAGGAGTTGAATTCTCTGGGAATTGGAGACTGGATGAAGATGGCCAACGAGAGGAAGTTGCTTAAGTTTAGTTTGTAGATTAGTTGCCTGGATGATGGCAAAAATAATGTGGAACATGAAGATCTGGAGGAGGAGCAGTGGGAATCATCAGAAAGTGCTGACTTCAGTTTTGGGCACTTTGAGCTTGAGGCACATAAGATAGAACTTTCTGAGAGGCATTTATGGAAGTCCATGTAAATGTAGATATAGATCTACATATAGATCTGCATTTCTCAAAATGAGTGATTTTGCCACCCAAGGGACACATGCCAGTGTCTGGAGAACATTTTGATTGTCATACCTGGTGGTGGGGGATACTGCTGGAATCCAATGGGTAGAGGCCAGGGATGCTTTTATCTTGTGATACACAGGACAGCTTCACAATAAAGAATTATCTAGTCCAAAATGTCAATAATGCCAAGTTGAAAAACCTTAATATAATGAATATGGATTAGGAATAGGGGAGGGATACCAACACTTATCAGGCTCTTTTTATGTGTCAGGCATGTTTCTGATACTTTATATGATTTAACTCCTTTAATCCCCACAACAATCCTATGAGATTGCTCCTTTACTAAACTCACTTTATATATATACATAGGTATTAAGTAGATATGAAAATATACATACAAGGGCCAGAAAAGTTCTATCACTGTCTTCAGTCTCACAGTTAAGGATTTTAAAGTCCAAATTTGACTTGAGGGCCCACTCCCACTCTTTCTCTCTCTTTTAAAATTTTTATTTATTTTTACTATATTTTCTTTTCAAATTTTTATTTAAATTTTAGCTAGGTAGCATACAATGCAATATTGGTTTCAGGAGTAGAATTCAGTGATTCATCACTTGCATACAACACCCTAAGCCCATCATATCAAGTGCCCGCCTTAATACCCATCACCCATCAAGCCCAGCCCCAACACTCCCACTCTCTTAACCACTTTGCTAGAACATCCCTTTATAGAAGTGAAATCCACAAGCATGGACAGTGCTAAAGCTATGATTTAATGTTTTACTAATGCAATCCCAGAGACTTCAGGAAAGTGCTAGAAATGGCAAGTGACTGTGCCCCAGACTTTCCTCTTAGGACTGTGCATAGAGTCCAGGGGATGATGAAAGAAGTGACAAAAGGAGGTACTCATTCCTCTGTTTTGGGGATTAGGAATTCTTATTGTGAAATTATAAACTGAGCAAAACATTGAGTCTCAAAGGATCCAGTGTTAGGCCTGTGACACAGGATATGAATATGGGCTCAATAATTTCTACCCTCAATGGACTCATTTAACTTCGAAGGAAATTATAAGGGAGAGAATAATTTTCTGTGCTTCTAATCAATTTTTCCAGAACTACAGGTCATGGAATAGATTCGCATTTGAGTCAGTTGATTGTTTTGGAGCTCATTATAAGGTTGTTTTCCTTCTTGCAAGTGAAGAGGACTTCTGGGCAAATTCTCAAATAGAGATCATGGCCTGTTCTCCAGATACCTCTTTTAACATGTCAAAGGCTGAGGGCTGTGCTGATGTATATTGCCTCCTTTCTTGTCAGAAACTTTGACCCCCCCCAGGACTGTAGAGTAGAAGTGGCCTTAAGGTCCAGCAACAGCGAGGCTTCCAGGAAAAGGAAGATGAGGGTTGAATGACATTTGTCTTTATAATTTCCTTTCAGACTCCAACCTGCACAAATCAAGGGTTGTGGGGAACACCACCAATTTATTAATTTATTGCTCTTGTCAGCCCTTATCCTGAATGGATACTGGGGAGAAGGGAGGAGATGATGTGCAGAGACATTGTGGGTCTATCAGTATTCTTTCTGCAGAGACAAACCACATGAGTGGAAGTAAAGGAGAATGAGGAATCATTAGGAATAATCAGAAGAAGTCTTGCTCCTTGGATTCCTTGCATGACAACCCTGAGCTTGTAAACCAGCAGATTCATCTCTCCATCTGGAGACAAAGAGTGAGGGTCCATTGTTAATGTCACCTTCTATCTCTGTTCCTGCAGATCACACCTGTGAAATGAATGGCTGTGGAAAATGACTCTTCTGTGACTGAGTTTATCCTTATGGGATTAACAGACCAACCTGAACTCCAACTACCTCTGTCTTTTCTGTTTTTGGTGAACTATGGGGTCACTGTGGTGGGCTATTTGAGCTTCATTAATTTAATTTACCTGAATTCTCACCTTCACACCCCAATGTACTTTTTCCTCTTCAGTCTGTCCTTTATTGATCTCTGTTATTCATTTGTCTTCACCCCCAAAATGCTGATAAGCTTTATTTCAGAGAAGAACATCATTTCCTTTACAGAATGCATGACCCAGCTATTTTTTTTCTGCTTTTTTGTCAACTCTGAGTGCTATGTGTTGACAGCCATGGCCTGTGATCGCTATGTGGCCATCTGTAAACCCTGCCGTACACAGTCACCGTGTCCCCTCAGTTCTGTTCTCTGCTGATGTCTGGTTCATACGTGATGGGGTTTGCTGGTGCTATGGTCCACACAGGGTGCATGGTTAGGCTGATCTTTTGTGATTCCAACATCATCAGCCATTACACATGTGACATCTTCCCCCTCCTCCAGCTCTCCAGCAGCACCTATGCCGGTGAGCTGGTGACTTCTGTTATTGTGGGCACAGTTGTCATTGTATCTAGCCTCATTATCCGTATTTCTTATATTTTGATTCTTTCCAATATCCTTCACATCTCCTCATCTCAGGGTTGGTTCAAAGCCTTCAGCACCTGTGGCTCCCACCTAGTAACTGTTGGTCTGTTCTATGGATTTGGGTTGCTCACTCACGTCAAACCATCATTTGCTGGGTCTGTGGGCCAAGGGAAATTTTTCTCAGTGTTTTACACCAATGTGGTGCCCATGCTCAACCCTTTAATTTATAGTCTCAGGAACAAAGATATCAAACTTGCTCTGAAGAAAACCCTGAAGAGAATTACAAACTGAGCAGAACCATCTATCCCTCCTTTGCTGTGTCTTTTTCTCCACTTTCTGCTCTTCCTTATCCTCTTCTTCCTATTCTTTTTCCTTTTCCTTACCTTTCTAAAGTCTTTTCTGCAGGATTTCTAATTTAATTTCTTTTTTCTCTTCTTGAGGGTCATCCTCAGTTCCAAGGTGAACCCAAACCGATCTTTATTCCCCATATCAGTTGAAGACACTAGGATAACCTTCCCTATCTAAGGATAGCACTACCTATTATTTTTTCTCTTGTCTTTTTTCTCTCCAAGGTAAGCAATCAAGTAGCATGCTGTCTCACCAGCTCATTTCTTTATTTGCTTTCTCTGAAACAATTACACAGAGCACTTTCCTGTTTTGAGGGTTTTATTACTTAAATTGCATTAAAACAGAGAAGATATGATAAAAATTGTGGGCACAGTATAGTTGTAAAAAATGCAGAAAATTTTGGGGTTCTTTTAATAATGGTTCTTGTTCTTGATTTTTAGTCCCGTATAGGTAAAGGAAGTGAATACCTTGTGGAACCTAGCTTCTTTCTTTTATTCTTGAGGGTGCTTGGGAATGAATGAGCCACACTATTTTGCTCACCTTTTTCAATCCCCACTAATAATGAATGCCTCTGTTTATGTAATGGTCAACTGATATTTGTCATAAAGAGAATTAAAATTGCCACCACTTGTCTATGTAGCCATGGGTTGTGATTGTGATTAAAAATCACACAATAATATTCTTGGCTACAGAATAGAGTGTCATGAGCAATGTCAAGATTCTTTGTTTGTCTAACTGTGTTAACAGGGATTCGCTTTTGCAAAGGAAGATCTGTTCCTGCTTTCAAAAGACAAACAAAAAATATATGGCAAAAACCTTGCCCTGTTGGGCTTTATTCTTTCACTATATAATTTGACTCCTCCCTTTGGTCAGATTAAATCTGTGGCCCATACATGTGCCACATTCTTTACAAATTATATTAAAAGATAAGCCTCTTTAACCTGTTCTTTAGAGGAGGAAATAATTATGCAATTTGCTCAAGATCATCCAGCCAACGATGCAGAGCCCAATGTTTTAATCCATGTTCATCTCACAAAGAAATGGAAGAGACTAAAGGAGAATTGCGAAGGAATAAGAGAACTTCTGGAGAGTTTTTCCAGAACGAGTTTGAAAGTGGGAATTTCATGGGAATAATGTCCTCAGCCAAGATGCCTGTCCAAGAAGCCTGCCATGCCCAACTAGAAAAATGCATCTGTCCCTGGAGAAGTTTGATTTTAAAGTGGGGGTAAACAGGGTGAGTTACAAAGAGATGTTTCCTCACACTCTTTTTTTGTGTGTGTGTGATCATTTCCTGCAATAGTGAGGCTGAGGAGTTTGGGGAATGCCACACTTTTCAGAATTATGTATACTTTAACAAGCCTGTTAGATATTATGCTATCAGTTGGAAAGAAGCAATGAAAAGGAGTTCTTTATAATTAATACAATGGTAAACAGAGCTCTACAAAATTTTTTTATTCTCTGTGTTATACAGAGTATAAACTGTCTATCATCCATCACTACTTTTAATGATTTTATGGGAAGATGTATCTCAGAGGATATACCCTAGTTAAGGGATATAGTAGATTATCCCTGTCATTTTTACGTTTACAAAGATACCATGAGTTTGAAAAGTTCTACAACATTAGTTTGTAAGAACAGCCTTATGAGATAATTATGCCATTTAAGAACTTTACTTAAATCTGATTAAAGATAATCAGGTAATTATATTGAGTATAATGCCTATCTCACTGTCATAATTTTTTAAAAAAACTTTTATTCCTGGGGCGCCTGGGTGGCTCAGTCATCAAGCATCTGCCTTCGGCTCAGGTCATGATCTCAGGGTCCTGGGATCGAGCCCCGCATCCAGCTCCTTGCTCTGCAGGGAAGCCTGCTTCTCCCTCTCCCACTCCCCCTGCTTGTGTTCCCTCTCTCACTCTGTCTCTCTCTGTTAAATAAATAAATAAAATCTTTAAAAAAAACCCTTTTATTCCTCAAGCAGAATATGAATTCCTCATACCTGCTTCTGTCCTTGTTTTGTCTATATCCATTATAGTACCTGGTTAAATAGCTAGCTTAAAACTATTTGGTTTGAATTTGATTCCAAAGCACATGTTTTTAGGAGTTTACATGCTTTAATAAAGACATAGAATAAGATATATAACACTCATGTCAATAAATCCTTGGTACTTAAAGAAAAACTAAAATGTGAATCACAGACATAGTACATAACTTGTGGTCTGAGTACTATATGTAAGCACCAGCACTCCCTGGTGGAGGAAGAGTCAGCAAATAGATTGGCTCAGTTCTGTGAACTCAACAGTCTTATTTCACAGGTTGAAATTCTTGTTTTGACCTGGCAAATCTAATTGACTTAACTCTTTAATTAAAACCTCCTTTTATAATATTTATTTATTTATTTATTTTCACAATGCAATCTTTTTTTAATCACTACATTCTCACCTACTTATGAGAAAAATTTTCATAACACTCAAATTAAGATATAGAATCAAGCAATGTATTATAGATACTGTCTTATAGTATGCTAGATAAGATTCTTTTAAAAGGCTAGAGTTTTAGAACAAATATTGTCATTTAAATATTTTATTTGGTACAATTATAACAGCACTCTATCCAGTCTTTTTTTAAAATTTTTTTATTGTTATGTTAATCACCATATATTACATCATTAGTTTTTGATGTAGTGTTCCATGATTCATTGTTTGTTCATAATACCCAGTGCTCCATGCAGAATGTGCCCTCTTTAATACCCATCACCAGGCTAACCCATCCCCCTACCCTCCTCCCCTCTAGAACCCTCAGTTTGTTTTTCAGAGTCCATCGTCTCTCATGGTTCGTCTCCCCCTCTGACTTACTCCCCTTCATTCTTCCTCTCCTGCTATCTTCTTTTTCTTTTTTCTTAAAATATGTTGCGTTATTTGTTTCAGAAGTACAGATCTGTGATTCAACAGTCTTGCACAATTCACATCGCTCACCGTAGCACATACCCTCCCCAATGTCTATCACCCAGCCACCCCATCCCTCCCACCCCCAACCACTCCAGTAACACTCAGTTTGTTTCCTGAGATTAAGAATTCCTCATATCAGTGAGGTCATATGATACATGTCTTTCTCTGATTGACTTATTTCACTAAGCATAACACCCTCCAGTTCCATCCACATCGTTGCAAATGGCAAGATCTCATTCCTTTTGATGGCTGCATAATATTCCATTGTGTATATATACCACTTCTTCTTTATCCATTCATCTGTTGATGGACATCTTGGCTCTTTCCACAGTTTGGCTATTGTGGACATTGCTGCTATAAACATTGGGGTGCACGTACCCCTTCGGGTCCCTACATTTGTATCTTTATGGTAAATACCCAATAGTGCAATTGCTGGATCGAATGGTAGCTCTAATTTCAACTGTTTGAGGAACCTCCATACTGTTTTCCAGAGTGGTTGCACCAGCTTGCATTCCCACCAACAGTGTAGGAGGGTTCCCCTTTCTCCACATCCCTGCCAACATCTGTCGTTTCCTGACTTGTTAATTTTAGCCATTCTGACGGGTGTGAGGTGGTATCTCACTGAGGTTTTGATTTGGATTTCCCTGATGCCGAGCGATGTTGAGCACTTTTTCATGTGCCTGTTGGCCATTTGGATGTCTTCTTTGGAAAAATGTCTGTTCATGTCTTCTGCCCATTTCTTGATTGGATTATTTGTTCTTTGGGTGTTGAGTTTGATAAGTTCTTTATAGATTTTGGATATGAGCCCTTTATCTGATATGTCATTTGCAAATATTTTCTCCCATTCTGTCGGTTGTCTTTTGGTTTTGTGGGCTGTTTCTTTTGCTGTGCAAAAGCTTTTTATCTTGATGAAATCCCAATAGTTCATTTTTGCCCTTGCTTCCCGTGCCTTTGGCGATGTTTCTAGGAAGAAGTTGCTGCGGCTGAGGCCAAAGAGGTTGCTACCTGTGTTCTCCTTTAGGATTTTGATGGACTCCTGTCTCACGTTTAGGTCTTTCAACCATTTGGAGTCTATTTTGGTGTGTGGTGTAAGGAAATGGTCCAGTTTCATTCTTCTGCATGTGGCTGTCCAATTTTCCCAACACCATTTGTTGAAGAGACTGTCTTTTTTCCATTGGACATTCTTTCCTGCTTTGTCAAAAATAAGTTGACCATAGAGTTGAGGGTCCATTTAGCACTCTATCCAGTCTTAAGGGTTAACTTAAGTGTTAACAAATGAACACACTCCTTGCTTACTGAATTAAGGCCCTTGATCTGTAACAGAACTAATTTACCTTCTTGAGATTTGCAGGCCACTGGTCTTGGGGAATGAAAGACCAGAACTTTCCTAGGCCTCAGAGGCCAGCAAATCTATTTGAAGCCACATTGACTTTCTGATTAGCTCAGCAATCTTTTAGCAAAATGTTTTTCTTTTTTAAGGTCACATAAATGACTTTACCAACCTTCCCTTGTGCATCTGTAGACCTTTGCATCCTTTGCAGAAAAAACAGAATACTCTTGCACAACCATCCCTGGGTACCAAGGAGCCAGACCTTCTTGCACATTATAATATTTATAAATAAAATTGTTTAAAGCCTAATATCTTTAAAATTAATATAATGAGACAATTCAGTGTAAAATAATTTCAGCATATATTTCATTTGGTAACTTTTTAAAAGATATAGATATTGTTGTATACTTATTTCTTATCCTCCTGTTTTATCATAGTTGCTCCAAAACAATTTAAATTGGAAAATTTTTATTTTACTTATGTTCAGCCCATATGCTAAAGACATATCAAATTTTTGTTATATATAAAAACTTAGTTATATTAATTATAATCTGCCTTAATTAGATTAACATTAACCTAAAGGGTCCCATGGCTTAATTTACAAAAAAAATATGAAGTAGGAAATCTTAGAAACTTATTGTTTTGGTGCTGATGTAAAGGTGCCTGTT